TTCATGAAGTTGTACATAGCATGCTGATGTTTGCCTTGTTCATTTTTGTGTTTTTGTCTCAATTTTTTTTTAACCAAATACTGTTAATTACAGTAGGGAAAAAACATTTTCAGTATTCATAATCTTGGAACAAATCTAACACTGCTTCTTTCAAAACCTTATGCCCTGAACTCTTGACCTTTGAGTCACAGCCAAGAACTTTAGCTTACTGAATAAATCCCTTTGCTCAGTTGAAATTAATTCTGTAAGTAAAGAAGTTGTTTTAACACCTCTGGATAGGCATTCTCACTGTATACTGTAGCTGAGTGAGCATAACAGGATCATGACAATTTGCTTCTGAAACATACTCAGATTTACTGTGGTAGACCTCCCTTCCTTCCTACCTCAGAGTCAAACCTAGGACCCCCCCCCCCCCCATCAGGCAAAAATATTCTACTAGTGAGATACAGTTTTACTGTCTGTCATCTGCCTTGCCCTTGTCTTTGCTTTGCTTTTCTTTCTGGTTTTACTTTTTAAGACAGAATCTCACTAATTTGCCCAGGCTGGCTTTGAGCTCACTTTGTAGTCCAGGCAAACCTTGACCTTGGAGTCGAGCTTCAGTCTCCCCCGCAGCTAGGATTATCGGCCTGCGTCACCTGGCCTGGCTTAGAAGCTCTATTTGCAAGTTCCTTTATGTCACTCCCTAGCTCTGTGGCTTTGAACAAAGCCTAGGATTGATTTATTTTGTGTGTGTGTGTTTGCCACTGTATACACCATGTGGGCTCTGAGAATCAAACTCGGGGTGTCTGGCTTGGTGGCAGCTGTCTTCACCCACTGAGTCATTTTGCTGGCCTCTATGATCTCTTTTAGCCTCATCTCAGAGAGTTTCCTCATCTCTGAAGTTGGCAAAGTGTCTCTTAGTAAACATGAAGAAAAGAATAGTATGAGTGCTTTGTAACCAAGTGCCCTGAAAAAGAAATTCACTGTAGCAGTGGGAGGGAACTGTTGTTCTTTTGTGTAGAGTAGAAGGGTAGGTTTTAGGGTAGGTTTCTGTAGTAAATGGTCCTGATGTTGCTAGTTGTAATGAATTATTAGTTGGGCTCAGGAGTCACCATACAAGCATGAGGCCCTAAGTTTGCTCTTAGAATGCACATGAAAAGCCAGATATGGCAGTAGATGCTCTGGTCCCAGCTCTAGGGAGGGAAGATTCTTGGGCTGACTACTAGCCAGCCAGTCAGAACTGTTGAGCTCCACATTGAGACCCTGTCTCAAAGAACAAGGAGAGCCAGCCAGGCATGGTGGGTACACCTGTCATTCCAGCATTCAGGGAGGCACAGGCAGGTGGATCTCTGTGAATTAAAGGTCAGCCTGGTCTATAGAGCGAGTGCCAGGACAGCCAGAGCTAAAACAGAGAAACTCTAACTTGATGTTAGACATACATTATGAGATTATTAACTCTGTGAGGACTGCCTTGCATAGCTAGAATGTAAATGTGACGAGAACACTTCACTTACCAGTGTTTTTAATTCTGATTGCCAGGATTTTGTTTGGGCGATATTTTGACTGAGGTTTGCTTTTAAATACAAAACTGAAATGGAAGGTTAGCATGTAGACTGCTGTTATTCCATACTGTCATTATCAGCTAATATCATTCATACATACCTACATATATGTGTGTGTGTATATATATATGTATGTATGTTTATATATATATATATATTGTTGAAAACATAAGCAACAGCTTGACATTGTGAACATCTCAGAATTCTGGGTTAATAACCAAAAAGCAAGTTTAAGTTTCTACAGTAGAGCTAAACAACAAACTTGAATAGAGACCAGACCTGATTTTAGTAATGCCTTTTTTCTAATTGTTCCAAGGATTGAGGTAGTTAACTTTTTTTCCATTTTATTTCAGGCTGGTACACACCTCCAAAGGAAGATGGCTAACTACATTGACATATGTGTGGACCAATGTTGCTTTAAAGAAAATTGTTCCAACGTGCAGACATAAGCTTTTGAGTGCCCGTATAACAGCAGTACCGAAGACATTAGCTAATAGATCATTTAGTGGATAATCTGTCACCTGACATCCAGTTACAGCCTTTTCATTTTGCTCACTTTAGGTATCTTGGACTGAGCAGTGGGGCCTTTACTGTATTTTTCCTGATAAGTACACGCAATAGCCACTCCCTACCACTTCTTTATTGAAAAGTGAAATCTTTTAAGCAGGGAAGTCAGCATCAGTTTACTGCAGCTGTGATTTTACAGTAACCTTCCTATATTGAGCCTATGGGATATGAAGATTTGCAAAATCCTGTTTGTTTAGAGCCAATAAAAGTTTAACTGATGGTCAATACTGGTTTAGAAATTTTAGGTCTTCTAAACCATAGCCTTTTCAGGTCTGAAATAATTTTATTGCCAAAATTATGACAGGAAGCCTCTTCATTAAATTGTCATACTTTTTCATGGTTGTGTGAAGGTTTGAACTATTCTGGAAGTATGCTCTTAATTGTATTCTATCATATTAGCTAAAGCAAAGCGAGGCAGCCACTTGGGAACAGTAATTTCTACTGGGGCAGCAGAGTCCTGTTGGACTGAACCTGCCTCCTGTTGGTTCAGCATTTCTTGTGAGGAGCCACAGTGTAGAGCCTGAAGTTCTGAAGTATGAGGTCATTTTACCTTTCCATTTATTAACGGGGTGTTGCAATTGTTGATAAACTAATAAACTTATGAAGTGATTGGCACAAAGACAGATTCCTTGAGCAAAATTATGCAAGATACCTAAATTGGAGACCCTTAAATTTTTTGCTAAACTCATATAGTGGCATTTACATCAAAAGACCAGTAGGGAATCAGCAGGGTTAATTCTTTTATAAAATCAATGGAACTTTCATTTTATTGACTCACCTGAATCAGTCTTCTTTGGTTGGTAATAGACTTTCTTTTTATACTCCTAAATTTGATTTAAATATAAATTCTAGCTATTAAGCACTTTTAAAAAAGAAATCCAGAAGCACATTTTCTTGCACAAACCAGTACAAAGTTCAAAGGTGTTTCATATACATTTGATTTGAGTTGTTTTTTTTTTTTTAACTTTGTAAACCACATCCAGGAGACTTGGCACTTGTGCACTTTAAGTGTGCACGTGTGCATTTTAAGTGTGGTTTAAGTTTCTCTTGGTTCTGTTGGTTAAGAGGACAAGTAAAGAGATCTGGTATTCTTGATCACTTGGTTACCTTCAAATAAATGATTGCCAGTAGCTTAGATAACAAGTGACAAGGCAGAATTCAACACATTATAAAGTTCCTTAAGCCTAAGGCAAAATCTTGAATACATTATTGAATTCTTTAATATCCTAATGGCTAGCATATTGACAGCTGCACATTTGGCATGCTTTTTTGGGATTTTATTTTTCATTGCAGATTTATTTGGCAATGTCCAGTAAATTTTGTAAACTTGCATCAAGTTTATGAATAAAGAACCATTTAAAAATCGGTTTGTTACCTTTCCCTCATAAGACATGCTATGATTCAGGTGTCTTTGGGCTCTGTATTGAATTTCTAGTGTAGAAATTTAAAGAGATAGGGTGTGGGAAGTTTTAGAAGCAAAGACAAAGATTAATTTAATGAGACAGGGAACCTAGAGTACACATAGTGTATTCAGACTTTCTTTAGTCGTTTCCCTTACATTCTTTTCAAGTACATGTGGGTTTGTAAATTTGTTTATTTTGAGACAGCCTCGCTCTCCAGCCAGGGTGGCTTTCTGGAACTTGTGGCTCAAGTGCTGTTTTAATTAATTTCCCTAATTTTCTTAGGATACTAGTAACACTATAACTCTCTGATACTCTGGCCCCTGGACACAGGAAGGTCAGTATATCTCATCAGAAGCCCGGAGGAAGGAAAGCTCTATTCCCAGTATGTTTGGACAGGACTCTTTTTCTCTCCTTGAGTGAAATTTTCATGCCAGTTTATCTTTGGTTTGAATGTTATGTCTCAATGTACAGCCAACCTACTTCATTCAAAAACAGTGATTTTCTCTGAAAGTTGTCTTGGATGTGGAAATCTTTTCCCTGGTCCTCATCAGGTGTCTCCCTCTTCCCCACCAAGCCAGTGCCTATTAAGAAGAATGAGCCATTGAGTAGCTAGTGGCCAGTATTTCTGGAAGTAGAACGTCGGAGACCCTGAGAGTTGCTGGGGCATTTGCGTTTTTTCGTATTCTCTGTGTAGTGGAGTTTTGGAGACTGTATGACACTTCCATGTGTTTGGTATTAAGCCTCAAGGTTTCCAGAGTAAAGTGGAAATTTATTACTGAAGGCAAGGAGCTTTTAGGAATTTGTCACCATAAGAATATTGTTAATGTGTTTTATGTTATCTTATATAAAATATTTGGGGGTTGCAGAGCTCAGGTTGCTTTCGGCTTGTGATCCTCCTGCCTCCAGCAAGCTGGATATTGCAAACATGGATCATCATGCCCAGCTCAAAATGTTCTCATAAGTAAATAATCACTATCACAGTGTAAAAGGTCATGAGGCCAAGACAAGAAGCACCGGGTCAGACCCAAGTAGCTGGGGACCAAGGGCCCTTCTATCAGAGCACAATCGATTCATTTGGAATGAAGCTGCGGCCACTGTCCTTTACTTTGTGGTTCGGGAATACACACAGGATCCACCGGAGGGTTAAAACGGGTTGTTGGGCCTTGTCTCCTGTGATTGTGTAGCCCTGGGATGAAGAAAGAGCACGAGCCAAAGGATAATGGTTCCTGCGTGAAAATGTCTGGCTTGGCGTGTGCTTTCTGTAGCAACTGTAGTTAGTGCCCAAAGAATGGCGAGTGCTATCTATAATGTTTACTCCATTAAAACTTAAGAGATAACGAGTTAACCAGATTCACCAAACAAGCCGAATGTTCGCAGTCGACTCAAAATCAAGGCTGCACCCGTTCCCTTCCGGGCGGAACAGTGCAATCCGTTTTACCCGGCGCACCGCTGCAGCGGCCAGTCCGGAGCCGGAAGCGGCCCGCCGGAAGTGGCGCGCGCCTGCTCAGTACGCTCGGGTTGGCGGCGGTGCACCGGCCGCTCTGGTTCCTCCGAGTCTCCTCAGGGCTTTCGGCCCGGTAGGGGAGGCATGGAGCCGGTGGGCGGTGGCGGCGGCTCCTCCTCCACAGACCCACGAAGCACTTACGTGCTGAGTAACCTTGCGGAGGTGGTGGAGCGTGTGTTCACCTTCCTGCCCGCCAAGGCGCTGCTGCGGGTAGCCGGGTGAGGGCGAATGGGGCGGGAGGAGACCTTCGACCCCATGGGTGGCGGGTTCGCCCCTGCCCCGGGGTCCTAGGGCTTGGCCGAGCGCTGCGGGGCTGCTGACGGCAGGGACGACCCGCCCGGCGGCAACCCTTTGTGCTTTTGCGTCCCCAGAGTGTGCCGCCTGTGGAGGGAGTGTGTGCGCCGAGTGCTGCGGACCCATCGCAGCGTGACCTGGATCTCCGCGGGTGTGGCGGAGGCCGGCCACCTGGAGGGACATTGCTTGGTCCGCGTGGTAGCTGAGGCGCTTGAGGTAAGTATGGAGGTGTGCCGCGGACGGTCATTTGCTGGACTTGTGGGCCATCTGTGAGGACTTTTTTAAAAAATCACGTTCGTGATACACGTCCTTGCTTTTGTTAATTTGGGGGAGCCTTTGCTCGTATTCTGGCAAGATTTTAAATAAGCGTCAGGTTTTGTATGGGCGTGCTGCGGCTTATTCCTTAGTAGATGTTGGACAGTTGAAGTATCCAGGTGTTCACTGTTATAACGCCTTACAGAGCCTTCCCTAACTTGTCTCTGTTTTGCAATGAAGGCTTTGGGTATCGCTTGCCCGGGGTCACACACTAAGGCTAGAAGAACTAATACTTCTACCTAAATACTTAAGCCATAGCCCTTTGCGTCCCCGGATCCAGGAGAGTCAACATAACAGGAGGTGAAGACAGACTGTAGAGCCGGTAGTGAATCTCTGGTAGCTCACTAAGTGGCAGAAACGCTCGAGAGGAACCCGCCAATTTGATGTTCTATTACTCTTTATCCCTTAGTATGTATAATAGGCAAACAGAACTCAGTCACAGCATAGCCTCCAAATTGGGAAATTCTCATGATGAATGTGTTGGTTAGAGGTTTTTATGTTTTTGTTTTTCAACTTGAGACAAGCTAAAAGTCATCTGAAAATAGGAAACCTCAAGTGAGTGTTTCCTACACAGATTGGCCTAAAGGCAAGTCTGTGGGGCATAGTGTTTGGTGTGGGAAGGCCCAGCCCACTGTGGGCTATCCCACCCCTGGGCGGGTGGTCCTGGGGTTTATAAGAAAACAAGCTGAGCAAGCCATGGAGAACAATCCAGTAAGCAGCACTCCACTGTGGCCTCTGCTTCCATTTCTGTGTTGGCTTCCTTCAGTGGGCTATCACCAGGATATCTAAGCCAAGTAAACCCTTTACTCCTCAGATTGCTTTTCGTAGTGGTCTTTATCACAGCAAGAGAAACTAAACTTTAGGTAACACATTACCTAAAAGACATCTGGCACTGGCCTGAAGGGGATCTTACTAGTCAAACGAGGTAATCTGAGTGCCAAAATTAAAAGCTGATAGTAGCAAATACATCCATAAGTAAGAGACTGCAAACATACTACCATCCAGTCTTCAGGCTCCATTCAGATTTTGTCCAGTACTGTGCTTGATAGTGAAAGGATTCAGTTATCAGTGACTTTAAGTAAAAGACATGATCTTTCACTTGTATCAGTTACCAGCCTCAACACTTAAAGTTGGAGGCTAGTTAATTTATAGAGCATCTGTAAACTGGGTGTGGCTGAGCTTTATTAGATGTTTCATCTTTGTCAAGAATGATGGGAAGCAAGAGTATGCTGTTCTTCTGGCACCCTTCCAGGTGGTCTCTGGCTTTCATTGATCCCATTACTTTAACTTGATTCAAGTGGTTTGCCAGAGGCCTGTCTGTCTTTAAGATTTCTGTCCTGTTGCAATTAAATATTTGTGGATAGAAACTTTGAAACTTAGCGTTCTCTTTCAATTTCCACACACACATTTGGAGGTGCTCTTGGTCTCTTGTATAAAGGTACACACATTATCTTTGGTTTGGCTAGTGAGCTCTCAAGCCACCTTCATTGTCTTTTTAGGGATGACTTTGTTTCTGGGTTTTTTTGTTTTGTTTTTTTGTTACCAGATGTTTTTAGCTTGTCTTTCACCTGCTTCATTCAGAGAAATTAGAGTTTCTCTAATAATTTTGGTTTCTTTTAGTGGAGAACGGTATTTAGGACCTAAGTTCAGTACTGTGAGGTGTGTGCACTATTGTTGGGGATTTGCTGCCTCTAGCCCACACAGGATTATGTACATGTCTGCATATGCAGTTGTTCTTTGCTGTTAGCTAGTTGCCCCATGCTGAAGTTCACAGATGCTCAAGTCCCTTATAAAGTAGCGTAGTATTTCTTTTAACCTTTATAGTCCTTATATTTAAATTTTTTACTTATTTATTTTTAGGACTTTTTTTTTTTTTTTTTTTTTTAAAGCTGTCTGGACTCGCTTTGCAGACCAGGCTGGCCTCGAATTCATAGAGATCTGGCCGCCTATGCCTCTCTGAGTGCTGGGATTACAGAAGTGTAGCACAGCGTCCAGCTCCAGCCTTATGTTTAGATTAAAATCTCTAGATTATTTATACCTAACATAAAGTAAGTGTTCTATAAGTAGACTACATTAGGAAATAATGACAAGAAAAAAGTTTGTATATACTCAGTATAGATGTAGCACACACACACCCCCTTTTGTAAATAGCCACATTTAGATCCTTAAATGGAGAGATGCAGAGAAAGCTGACTCTGTGTATTTAGAACTGTATTTCTGTCAGTACATGAAACTCATGAGTTGCCTTAGGTGCATCCAATCCAGCACAAGATTTTTGTCTCGCTTCCTTTCTACTCATATCTGACTTTTTGACAGTGGGAAACCTGGCTCTTAAAAAACAAAACAAACAAACAAAAAAACCACTTGCTGGGAGTGGTGGTGTATGCCTTTGATCTCAGCACTTGGAGGCAGAGGCAGGTAGGTATGTGAGCTCCAGGCTAGCCTGGTCTACAGAGTGAGTTTTAGCATAGCCGAGGCTACACAGAGAAACCCTATCTAGAAAAACCAAAAAGGAGGGGTCCCTATTTGTGCGTGTGTGCGTGCGTGCGTGCACGTGTGCAGGTGCCCATGGAGGCCAGAAGAATGCAGTGGCTCCTCTGGAGCTGGAATTAACTGGTCATTGTGAGCTGTATGAACTTTGTCCTCTGAAACACAACAATTGCACTGAAATGCTGAGCTGTCTCCATCCCTGGCTCCTATTTTTAATGTGCCTGTCCCAAATGTGGTGTCTTCTATTCCCTGCTGTCTTGTGTAGCTTTTCTTCTTTGCTCTTTTGGACTCTTGGACTCATACCCAGAAAGCTGGCTAGCATCCCTCAGGTCTGTTGGAGTAGTATTTCTCTCCGAAACACTGATCAACACCTACAGTCTATTATTCAGAATCTATCATTTAGGAAAATTTGAAATCCTTGCAAAGCCTTTTCCACAGAATTGTTTGGAGCATGATGTACAGTGAAGGAACTTACAAACATCCTGCTGTTTGTTTAGTAAAAGAAATCATTAAGTTATAAATCACAAGGTACATTTAGTGTTAAGAAAATCTTGATAAAGGGGCTGGAGAAATGGCTCAGTTGTTAAGGGGTTTAGGATTTAGCTCAGTGGTAGAGTGCTTGCTACTAGTCCTGGGTTGGGTCTCAGTTTAAAATAAGAAAAGAAAAAGAAAAATTTCAGTTTCCAACACCCACATTAGTGGATCACAACTGCTAGTAACTACAACTGGTTTCTGAGGGCACATAAACATATGTGCCCTCAGACATATCCACAAAATAAAACATTTTAAATGTTAGGAAACATTATTAAATTATATTAGTGTAATCTATATTAATGTAAACGAAGAGTCATAAATAAGTTAGAATGTTAATGAAAGTTTCCTGTGGGGAATAGAATTGTGTGGTTTTTGTTTTAGTAATGCTCCTTGATTGTTTACAACTTTTTACCGCAGTAGGCATTCTATATGTTTTAGTGGTTGTTATATACAGTCTTAGATGTTAATCCACATTTTGGCTCAAGCTAGCCATGTGGATTTGTCGTCTTTGAGCCTTGTTCCACTTTGGCAAATTGAAAAGGAAGAACAGTGATTCTCTTGTATCCTTAAAGGGTTCTTGTAAGGATTAAATAGCAAAAAAGTAATGCATGTAACTATAAATTTTCGATGGATATTAATATTCTCACAATATCACTATTAAAGTTACATAGTAGTAGCCTTAAAAAATCAAACTCATGGTGAGACAAACATGGTGACTAAGTCATAGATGCTGTTTTCTCTATTTTCCAAATAAGCTTGTGGATGGAGTATTTTAATACATATAAAGGAGGTTTAACTTCCTATTAGAAATGTTTTGAGCTTTTATAAGACAGCTTGCCATTTGCAACTTCTTTGACTAGTGTTTTCCCAGCTGCCTTGCACTACAGTGAGAGTGCCATTTTGAGGCTTTTCATCGTCAGTTGCTAGTGAGAATTAGAGATAGGCTTGTATGTTTATTTAAACTTAGGAGGCTTAAGGCCTGACTGCTTTGTGGAAGTTACCCTGCTGGCGATGGCAGATGAAGGACCCAGCCCTGACTCCTCACTCATCAGGCATAGCAGACAAAAATAACCCAGGGGTCAGAAAGAAGCCCAGGGGGGTGTAGTGGCTCAGTGGGTTGTTGGTACTGGCAGGTCTGCCTAGCCAAAGCTAAAAGGTAAACAGTCTTGAGTGTTTCCAGGTTTTATCGAAAGGATCGGGAAATATGTAAAAATTCTGTGGAATTTTAAATTGTGGCAACTAGTTAAGACTTTTTAAAGATGTCAGGTGAAATCATGAATTTGTATCCTTAGGCTATAGGCCTTACTCTGCCCACATCATTGATACATACTCTTCAGTGTTTTTCATGAGTTGTCTCAAACCTACGCTGAAACATCTGAGTCTCCCCAGATTACAAGGCAGTGAAGTTGTGCTTTATAGTCTGTACTTTATTCCATTCTGATAGGAAAAACACTTGAAAAAAGTCCTTGCATTTAGTTTGGAACACAAACAAGAATGGCGGGGGGGGGGGGGGGGGGGGGGGGAGGCTGTGAAGGATGTCACATGGAGGTGCCAAATATAAACGGTGTAATCTAGAGGCAGGGGTTGAGAGATTTGCTCTAAGGTACTTTAACGATTTCAAGGTGCTTTGGCAGCAAGGGAACCTGTGCAAGCGTGGGCAGGTCTGACCCTGAGCTGGAGAGCTGTCGGTGAAAGCCAGAAGAGCAGTGCAGCCTGTGTCCCCTCCCTCTGTTGAGAAGCTTCTTCCTGTTCAAAAAAAAAGTGAGAGGCAGCTTTAGCTGCTACCTAATGTCTGTTCTAAAAGATTAAATGAGCTTTATGAAGATGAACTTCTTAAGGCCTGAGATAGGTTAGACATAGACAAAAGAGTAGGTGCTCAGTAAGGAAGCTGACCGGTAGGGTGACATGTGAGAAATAAGAGGACTTGGGATGGATAGAGACAGTGGCTTTATTGCACTTGGGAACACCACAGCCTCACAGGAGCCAATTCTTTTTCTCTTTGCAGAATGTTCCCATCTTACCACGGACAGTTCTCTACATGGCAGATTCTGAGACTTTCATTAGCCTGGAAGAGTGTCGTGGCCATAAAAGAGGTAGATATGGAGAAAAAGGGTTGGGTCTTTGTTTTTGGTTGTTTTGACATTGTCCTAGCCCCCGAGAACAGGCTTTCTGAAACTTTTGGGCACTGCTCCTGGTACATGTGCTCGCGTCTGGCTTGAGCCGAGGAGCCTTTGTGCTGTAGATTGATGTCTAACTCACCGTACAATTAGGGTGGGGTTTTCAGAAAAACATTTTTCTTCTTTTGAAATAGTTTAATCCTCCAGATGTACTTCTGTATTAAAACAAGATCCTGGCTTTGGTTATCCAAGCCTGTTCCTGTATAATGTGGTGCTATGAGGTTCCGTTTACCAAAGCTATTTACAGACACTGTATATTCTTAGCTTGCTAGGGGAAAATACAGACCAGACTTTGGTTTGGATGTTGTCTGACTTGAATCCAAATGACCTGAGTCAAATGATAGTTACACTGTGACATCAGTTGAACAGAGAGAGCCAATAAGTAGCACTTCTCAGACTCAGTGCTGAGCCAAATTTGACGCCTTTGGGGCAGAAGTAGGATATTTACAAAGGATAATAGCAAACTAGTGATGGTAAAGATTAGCTTTAAATTTTAATAAAACAGGCATCAAAATGGGGAAAGCACTTATTTTAATCAAAATGTTTAGGCTTTCTTATAAAGTTTTTCCTTTCTTCCATTTTTTTTTTCCTATAAGACAAGATCATATATAGCCCAGCTGGCCTCAAAATTCACTGTATAGCCGAGGATAAACTTGAACTCCTGATTATCCTGCTTTCACCTTGAAGTGCTAGGACTACAGCTTGCACCTCTTTGGGGCTTACGAAGTGCTGTGGCTAGTGATCGAACCTAGGACGTCTTGCATGCTAGGCCAGTATTCTACCAACTGACCAACACCCCCAGCTTCATAACCTGTTGTTAAATATTGTTTTTTAGCATTGTCAGATTTGACGGTGAACAGTATATGTAATGATTGTGCTACTGTGTTGTCACAGCGAGGAAAAGAACTACCATGGAGACAGCGTTTGCCCTTGAGAAGCTGTTCCCCAAGCAGTGCCAAGTCCTTGGGATTGTGACCCCGGGAATTGTAGGTGAGAGAAAGTAACAGTTTATTTCTTGCTTAGTTTGATGTGGGGTCCCATGGATTGATGAAATATTTGTAGCTGAAAAGTATATTCACATTTCCAGTCATCTAAAACAATAGCATTGGTCATCCTTGCCAGGGTGTTGGATTGTACTTAGTATCTCTCAGGTTGCTGAGGTTCAGAGGTCAGATCTTAAGGCTGCTTAAGAGCAAAATGTGATCCCTGTCTTCCCTTAGCCATTGGTGGTGGAGGTGGGGAGGATCTCATTCTACCAGCCCCAGATTAGGAAAGACCTTAGCCCATCCAGTCTGGTCAGCTCTTGATTCTTGCAGGCAGGATGATTGAGGGTGACAACTTACAATGGGCCTTACCCAGACACTTGTTTCTCTGCATGTTGCCACGTGGCACATTGCTAGTAAGTTTTTGCTGTTACTATATGGATTGTTTCCTGTTGCTTTGGCAGTGGTCAGTGGTTACAATAGCTGGGTTGGGATTCCAGCCTAGTACCTGTGCTACTTTGGACAGCTTACCCGACATCCACAAGGCTTCAGCTTCCTCATCGGTGAAATGGGATGCTGATGTTAGTGACATTTAGAACATACCACTCCTATTTTCTGGAGCTTTAGATGGAGCCTTGTCAGTGGCTCAGCTGTTAAAGTGCTGGCAGCTAGAGCATAAAGACCCTTCCCACCCTGGGGCCCTCACACAAGTACACTGAAAGACCTTGTATTTCAGTCTTGTGTATGAAACACAAAGAATTCCAAGTGTTTGCTACCAGTGTCTCCTTACTACAGAGCTGCTTACACACTAACAGAGGAAGAGCTGTGGCTGTGGCTTCAAACATTTGAATTGGCATTAGGTAGCCTTTTTGTCATTATTGGTTATCGTTGGATGCTTATGTAGACTCATAGCTCTTATTCCTCACATCTTGGTCCACCTGTTGTATCTACTGTAGCCACAGTCAAACAGAGCCACATTTCTCTTTTTAAGTTTTCTATTACAGGAATAGGGGCAGGAAAAGAAGGACCAGCCTTGGCTGGCAGCCCTGCCTTCTTCATGTGAGTGGGTGGCAGTTGTAGCTTTCCTTTTGTTACTGCCTTTTTCTGAAGCAGCTTTGATTTTTTTTTTTTTTTTTTTGGGGGGGGGTGGGGTGCTGCTTTAAGTCCTCATGGTCTTATGTTTGGGGCTAAATACCATAACATCTGCTCCAGCCAGAGTGTGGCCTTTGGTGTTTGCTGGGTCTTCTCTATGCTGGTTGTGGTGGTTTAAATAAGAATGGCCCATGTAGCCTCATAGACTTTCGAATGCTTGGTTGCCAGGGAGAGGAACTGTTTGAAAGGATTACAAATGATTACAGGGTGTGGCCTTGTTAAAGGAAGTTTGTTACTGGGAATGGGCTTTAAGGTTTCTAAAGCCTATGCCAGGTCCAGTCTCCCTCTCCACCTGGGAGCCAAGATGTAGCTCCCAGCTTCTTCTCCAGCACTGTCCTGTTTCTCACCACTGGTGCTTTCTTTGAGCCTAATTCTTTATTCATTCCTGACAGTCCCTGCCAAAACCCCTATTCTGGCTTCTATGGTGCTAGGTTAGTCTACCTGGTTAGTGTCATAATGATTGTCCTCTTTTTGTATTTTGGCTCTCTGACTCATTATAACTATTTTAAACATGTTTGAGATTTATGTTACACTTATCAGTAAGTCCTTTAAAAGATTGGGTGTGTAAGCACATGCATGAGGAGGTCAGAGGTTGTCAAGTGCCTTCTTGAATTGTTATTTTGAGACAGGGTCTCCCACTGAACTTGGGGTTCACTCTTCAAGCTAGACTGGCAGGCCAGTGAAGTCCAGGGATTTGTCTCTCTGTATGTGCTTCCCCCATTGCCTGACCTTTGTTCTTATTTTGGGGTCAGGTGTGGGGAGGCCTTCCAGCCTCTGGTGCTTGTACAACTCTTCACTAACTGAGCCATGTCCCCAGCCTGGCATTTAAGTCATTCTGTGATATAAAAGACAAGATCTATTTTCTCATTCTTGTTTTTCTAGATAGACTATAGTTTTCTGGTCCTATGTATTATGAATGAGGCTGTTACTTTTGCTTAAGTTTCTCTGAAACTTAAGAAGTGGACTTGCTGGCTTGATGTATATTTAACTCAAAAAGAAACTACTAATTTTCCAAATGTCTACCATTGTGTACTCAGCAAGCAGTGTATGAGGATTGCAGTTGCCAGGCATCCTTGCTGGGTCACAGCTTGTGACTGTTAGCCCAGCCAGTAGGTGTAACCATCCCTGCCTTGAGTGTTGACTGCCTCTGTTCAAAGAAGAGTGTTTTCTCTGACTCTCTCTAGCTGTGTTGCATACCTTGTGTGTGCTTACTGGGTACTTGTATGTTGCCTTGTGACGTGGCTGGCTCACTGCTGGTGGTTTTAATTTGTACTGTCCTATATCTACTCACATTCAAACACTGTTTAGGTTTCTTTCCCAGGCTTTGTGGGAGTGGCTTATTTTGCTGTTACAACAAAATACTAGCCAAATGCAGTCTGGGTGGGGAACTTGCTTAGTTCACAGTGCAAGGGTACATCTTGGTGGGGAGTCATGTGACAGAGGTGTCCTTACGGAAGGAGCCCAGGGAGACTGCTGAATCTTGGGTGTAGGATCCAGGCTGTGGGATAGTGTTGCCCCAGGTTCTGTCTTCTCAAAGCCCTCATGGAGTGCCCAGAGTCCGTGGTGATTCCAAGTCCTGTCAGGTTAGGCACCAAGATACCATCACAGGTCTTACTGTGAACTTGAATCTTTCTTTTATGTATTATCTAGATCATGTGAGGTTTGTCTTTTGGGGTTTTCTCTTTGAATACCCCCCACCTCAGCCCACTCTGATTTGGGTTTCTTAGAAACTTAACACTTAAACATTTATGTATATAGCATTTTGCCTCCATGTATATCTGTACATGTATATACATGCATTCCTGGTGCTCATGGAAGCCAGAAGAGGGAATTGGATCTCCTGGAACTGGAGGTAGATGGTTGTAGCCACCATATTGGTGAAGGAACTGAACCGTGGTCCTCCAGAAGAACAGCAGTTCTCTTTATCTGGACTTGGCGGCTGCAGACAGTTTGGACACGTGCTTTTCTTTGTTTAAGAAGCATCTCTTTCTGAATGTACTTAAAAGTATGCTACAGGCGTAGCCACCCTAAGGTTGCCAGAGAACTTCGTTTACTCTAAGAGCAGCTATTTGATAATAGCCCAGTCTAGAGTTAAGGTGCAGTGGTTTGATAAAGCCTCTTACTAAATCTAGTCCTCATGAAGCTGTCATTTTTCCCCCTAGTGACTCCAATGGGATCTGGTAGCAATCGACCTCAGGAAATAGAGATTGGAGAATCTGGTTTTGCTTTATTATTCCCTCAAATTGAAGGAGTGAAAATTCAGCCCTTTCATTTTATTAAGGACCCCAAGAATTTAACACTTGAAAGACACCAACTTACTGAAGTGGGTAAGTTATTATTATTTACTATTCTGTTTATTTATTAGTTTATTTGTTTGGAGACAGGGTTTCACTATGTGGTTCTGGCTAGCCTTGATCTCAGATCTTCCTGCCTCTGCCTCCCAAGTGCTGGGTTTGAAGGTGTGTGCCATGCAACTGGCATTTTGTTGATTATCATGCTGTTTCATTTCTGGCCAGCTAGTAGCTTCTAGGCTGCTGACAAGGCTAGTGATTGGTAGCATTGGTTTCAGATTACTCTCTTTGCCATGGAGTCCTAGATGACTAGAGATGAACATTTTTATGAGTATTCTGCTGATAAGCTTGTGTATGATGAGTGTTTTGCTTACGTGTATGTAGCGTGTGTTTGCGTGCTGCCCCATAAGAGCAAAAAAGGACATCATATTCCTGGAAATGGAATTACAGATGCTTGGGAGGTAAGGTGTATGCATGCATTTAACTGTAATTGACGTTTGAAAAGATTCTTGGTCTTCAGTAAGCTCTTAATCGATAATTTTGTCTTATTTTTGTTATTTAAAGCTGAAAGGCTTTTTTTTTCTTTTTTTTTTTTTTTTTTTTTCTTTTTTATTTAACGAGCTGAAAAGCTTTTAAAAATATTCCTGGTGACTGTTATAAAAGTTTTTTAGAAGAAAAAAGTTGGTGTTAGGAGAGATAGGCCTGAACTTGGTGAAGTATTAGGAAATGAACAGTTGAGATTGTTGAAATTTGAGATTTCAGATTGACTGAAATCTGAGAAAGCAAATGTGGTTGAATTTGGAGTAGATCTAGTGTCAGTCCATGATGGGAAAACTTGTTTGTTACAATAGGCCACTACTGGCTACTCCAGCAGAGCAGTGTGAATGAAGGCTTCTCATCAGCTACACCTGCAGGGGGCTGACTGAGCTTAAACCATCACTGTTCATAAGAGTTACTTAGTGCTAGCTCACGTCTGTGTATAAATGGGCTGAAGACACAGGCCTCCGTTAGGCAGTGGCACTCAGACCTGCCACTTTCTAATTACCTCTGATCACTTCCCCACTCTTCTGCTTCCATGTTGCTAATATGGAAGTCAACTGTTAGAGAGGCCTGTGTCTATACAGGTTATTAGTTTTTGCTTTACAGCAAGGAAATGAGTTTGGAAAAGTTAGGAAGCTTGTCCCTACTTAAAGACCAGCAATAGAAAAATGGTGTAACAGCAAAAGAAGTTGGGGTTTCTGGATCAGAGGAAGGAGTGTTCACCTTGAGAATGGCTTTTATATTGTCCTGAGCGGGGTAGACAGAAGAGTAAGAGCAGAAGCCCGGAGCCCTGCACATAAGCCTCAGTGTAGAAGAGGGTTGGGCACCCTGTTCCTGTAGGGTCACTGTTTAGAAAACAGGTTTGGGCTGAGGGGTGGCTGTTGGCGTTGGGTGTGCATCTTCAGTGTCTCTTCACCCTAACTTCTTTTGAATAGCCATGTCATTGTCCCCAACTAGTCACTTCCCTAGAATTAACAATCTCTTGTTTCTAAAATAAATAGACTTGTCTGCTGTTCCCACGGGCTTCTTCCTATTCAGAAAATTTGTTCTGCAAAAGAAAAGAGTCTTCTCCGAATATGCCAGGCTTGTCTGTTAGAGGGAGGGCCCTTCAGAGCTGGTGTGGGATGCATGGTACTAGAAGGCCCTGTTATTTCCACTGTACCCAGGAGCATAGTCTAAAGTAGTATTTGTCACTAGCTAGCTCTTCTGTCAGCAGCATTGCGGTGAAGATAGTGCTCGCCGCTGTGACCTGCAGGCAATGCTGCCTAGATTTCAGTACAGAAAAGAGTTCCAGTATGACCAGTGTGAAGCAGAGTAGGAGTTTATTAAAAGGAGATTTTTAATATCGATTTCAGCATGGGGATTGAGAGACCAGGCAAAGTGGACGTGGGCTGCTCAGGAAAGACCTACGTCATCATCTTTACAGAAGCTCTGTGAGAAGGTTAACTGGACTCACTGGATGGTTCCTGGGATGCAGGACAGGATACACTTGATAAGACTAGGTCACTGCATGCACGGAGTTAGGTGTTAACGTGCTGGATTCTTGATTCTCGGTTGCCAGAATCTCGCAGCATTGTGGTCTGCAGGGCTCCTTTTCCTTCCCATCTTGCCTGCTCTATTCAGGACGAGTGAGCCTTCTATCACGATGGAAGTCATGTGGCTGAGTTAAATGGAAACATGAGTGTAGTTAGGGGCTGCATTTTCTTCCTTTCACGAAGCCATCTCTTTGTAATGCTGGTTGGTTTTAGGTTAATGCTCTGAAAGTAATGTGCCGAGGCTCAAGAAGAGGCCCAGAGCTCTGGGAATGAGTTGACCTCTGGCTCCCTTGAGCTCTGCTGCCTGCTAGAGATGGAAGCTTTTAGACCACATTTGATAAGACAGAGCTCTAGGTCACTGGCATGGGTGGAGTTAGGATGTGGAGCCACCTGCATCATTGCTGTTTGCTCTGTAACCGTGTCCTGCTTGTTTGAGGCCTGTTATATTCAAATAGCCATTTAGGTTTTATTAATGGGAAAATTATAACTAAGACCTGAGTAATCTCAAAGTAGACGAAATGGAAACCAGCCTCAGTGCTGCATGAGACACACTGCGAGTGCTGGCTAGTAGGAATTTCATGCAATTCATCGATGTTTGAAGGCTCACTGTATCCCTCACTTCTGCAGGTCTTCTGGATAACCCTGAGCTTCGTGTGGTCCTTGTCTTTGGCTATAACTGCTGTAAGGTGGGAGCCAGTAACTACCTGCATCGAGTAGTCAGCACTTTCAGCAACATGAATATCATCTTGGCTGGAGGCCAGGTGGACAACTTGTCTTCACTGACTTGTGAGAAGTAAGCCTGAGCACCTTGCTTTGCTCCCATGGGTGATGGAAGTGATTTCAGGTTCTCATTACTTTAGGCTTTTTAAAAAACAAATTTGAGGGATCAGGCAGGTGGCATTGTTATGTCTTTAATTCCAGTACTCTGAGAAAGCAGAGGCAGGTGACTCTCTTGAATTCAGGGTCAACCTGGTCTACACTGGTGACTCCAGGCCAGCTAAGAGTACGATATGATACCCTGTCTCAAAATATACAAAGGGGGAGGGGGGCAGGCGGTGGTGGTTGCAAGCCTTTAATCCCAGCACTTGGGAGGTAGAGACAGGTGGATCTCATGAGTTGGAGGTCAGAGACTAGCCTCATCTACAGAGTGAGTTCCAGGACAGCTAAAGCCACATAGAGAAACCCTATCTCGAAAAACCAAAACAAATAAATAAATAAAATAAAAATGAAAATAAAAGAAATTGCTAATATACCAATTCATTCCATTTTGCTGTTGCCAAGATGCTCACTAAACACAATTTTGCTTGCAGTCAAAGAACTAAACTTGTATTTATTGTCCTTTAAGAACATCAGAGTTGGGTTCCTTCAGCATTACCATTGATAGGTTTATAGCTCTGGTCCTCCTTATGATGCTCCTGCAGATGAAGAAGTCAATAAGTGAGGCTAAAATAAATAAAATCACATGGCTTTTACTTCAGTGTAGGGCTGAGTTGCTAACTGGGGAATAGAGGTTAAGAAGAAACAAGAGTAGGTTTTAAAGGAAAGGAGGAACTGTAAGAACGTTGAAGCAGCAGATAGGTAGTTACTGGATTCTACTAACCCAGGAAGAGCTTTTGTGTAGCTGTGTATTTGTGGCTGAGAAGGGCAGGTGCTCTCCTTTTTTGATCTGCCCTGTTTTTAATAACAATTTCATTTAATCCTTGCCTGAGAAGAGAAACCTCAGACTAAAGCTTACGTTGCTAAAGGCATCAGATCTCGTCCCTTAGTTGTTGATGATCTTCCGTTTATTTCCAGGAAGCCTCTGGATATTGATGCCACGGGTGTGGTTGGACTGTCATTTAGTGGGCACCGAATCCAGAGCGCCACAGTTCTCCTCACTGAGGATGTGAATGATGACAAGACTGTCGAAGCAGCCATGCAGCGCCTCAAGGCAGCCAACATCCCCGAGCAGAACACCATTGGCTTCATGTTCGCATGCGTTGGCCGGGGCTTTCAGTACTACAGAGCCAAGGGGAATGTTGAAGCCGATGCCTTTAGGAAGTTTTTTCCCAGTGTCCCCTTGTTTGGCTTCTTTGGAAATGGAGAGATTGGATGTGACCGGATAGTCACTGGGAACTTTATACTGAGGAGATGTAATGAAGTGAAGGAAGAGGATCTATTCCATAGCTACACAACCATCATGGCGCTCGTTCACCTGGGGACCAACAAATAAGCTGCCTTGGTGAGAGTGGTTTTCAGTGTGTAACTTTGGAAGTTTGCCTTTTTCAAAACCATGAAGACTTGGGATATAAATTTTTAGAAAAACTAGCTTTGTGTGTGTTTTTTTAGCTTTGATTTGATGCTCTGAAATCACTTTGGGGTGATTTTTAATATACAGATGAAGGACAACTTCATACACACATAGGTCAAGAAGTAAGGCTGTTGTTAGGTGCAAGCAAAACTGCTGTGGCTGAACTGCACCAGGTTCTGTGACTGTGCAGAAGTGCCCTGAGAGGTTGACAAGGCCACCAGGAAGTTGGAGGTTTAAGACCTTGTAGTGGTTGATGAACTTTTAGCAGAATCATGACTTTTTTTCTCCCCTAATAAAGGAGAAAATTAAAGAAATGGTTTGAGAAGCCTGATTACTGACGTTTTACTTTTCTGATAAAGAACTATCTTTGTTTTGGTGCTGTATAAAGTTGCTCCTTTAAGTAAGTTAGCTTTTTGCTCTTCACAGTAAAGACACTGCAAGGGGAACAATCTTTTTCACATAGTTCTGAAAATTATGTCATCATATTTTGGTTTTATACCAATAAAATATACTTAAACCCACTCAACTGGTATTGCATTTATGACTTTGGATGAGTGAATAAAGGACATAAAGTATTCCTTTATCAGTGAGAACCTGGAGCTGAGGGAGATGAGAGAGCGCATTGGTTTCCTCAACATCAAGCTCACGCTGTGATGGCAACTTTGGATTTTCAGTTACTCACCTGCCTGTATTTCTCAATACTTCCCATTGTATGTTCTTAAGAATGGCATGGCCTTTGTGCCTTTCTCCGTCTTGCTTGGACTACGGGCAGGCAGAGAAATCAGTACCCCACTGTGGAGAGGCCCACAGGGGATCCTGGTTCCCTATACACTGTTGTGGTTATGCCCTCCTAATGGGCCCAGACTGACTGCTTCCAGGCTGTTTTACATGGACTTGCACCAAGTCTGTTGCAGGGTATTCTTATGACTGACATGTGACATTTCTGTAAAGGTCAGTGGTTGTATTAACAGAACAGTAGATAATTTGTAAATAAAATCAAATACAGGCATTAAAGAAATAATTGTTAGTTTGTCCAAAGAAACAAATTAAGGCCTAGAAATGGCAACTGCTGCAGATACTTATGAAGCTACAAAAATACATTTTAAAAAAAAGCTGAGGTGAGCACAACATGAAGGTATGTTCACATCTTGAGCTGCCTTCTCAAGCAAGGCTCAGCACTGATTTCTGTATACTTCCATAGGAAGCCATATCTGGGACTCTCTAGTTGATTAGAAAAGGGCTGCTTTGATTGCAGGAAAAGGGAAGTGGATCTTACAGTTAAGAACTCCAGCAGGCAGAATGCTAGTGAGAAGGGTGCGGCAGGTAGGTGGCCTGAATATTTTAGTTTTCTCAGTTGTGTTTAAACCTGGATCATGTTCTAGGAGGCCAGTAGCGAAAGACTAGTGGTTTGTGCCCATATTTAACAAAATGAGCATGCAAAGAATTACAGTAGAAATAAACTTAGAAATCTGAATGCTCTCTAGGCAACTGGCGGAAATTTTAGTGGGACAGTGCTTATGTCATTTATACCCACAAAGTCCGGCTCAAATTATCATCATTATAAATTCTTTTGATGGAAGTCAAAGAGTACAAAACCGTGAAAAATGAAGGTAATCCACTTGATTTTTCAGTTGTAGACTGGGTATGAGTTGTGTCAATGGAAATGTTGATGAAGTAGGGTAGGCCCTGAACTAGAATTCTGTGTTTAATAGGCGAAATGACAGTATTACTGTACAGTTACCAGAAGGCTGTTTTAATATTGGGCCCCTTACAGGGGGGTGAGCGGTGACATGTGCCACCTGTGTTGGTTTTTTTATTGATAATTTCACTTCTGCCCTGTGCCACATCTGGAGAGAAGTTTCTAGAACATGTGCTGCTGTAAAGTGAAATCACCCGCCGGAAGTCAATAAAGAAGTCACTTAAGTGTGGAACATCTGCATGCAAGTAAGCATTTGTCCTATTTTTTGCCCAGGTGAGCAATAGACAAAAACAAATCATGATGGTGTCAGTTTCAAAAGCAAATGATTAGACTAATAAAGCCTGTGAGACCCCTGTTTTAACAGTTTTCTTCCTGCTCAGGGTTCAGTCTCCCGGCATTTACTCAGCATGCTTACCCTGTCTACTGTCTTCTGGTGCTAGAGTTACAGACAGGAGTAAAGCACACTGACCGGAGACCCGAACAAAGCGATACTGAGAAATTCCCTACTCTCAGCAGGGATGGCAACAAGCAAACTGTTGGCTTTGCGGGAGCTCTAGAAAACAGGTTCATCTTTAGACAGGAGCTGGTTCTGATGCTCTCAGCGACTCTGCCTCCTTGTGACTGACTCTTAAAAGCAGAGCCCCAGCTCCCACTCCTAAAGGAGGAGGAAGTGGAAGGGAGCTGATTTGTAGATGGGTGTATATATGTCGTCTTTTTGGATGGTACCTGAAGTGCTTGTACAAGGTGCTTGGTTGCTCAGCTCTGTTTGGTTTTACCTCCTAGTGGGAGTGGGCACTGCTTATAAAAACCGCAGGGATTCTACATGACAGTTAAGAGGAGATGGGTGGAGATGTAAAGTTGACTATTTGAGGGGAGACATAGTGAAGTTAGAACATTTGGAAGCAACCACACATACGGAGCATTTGGAATGGCATAAATGCTGTAAAGATCTGACCCCCCGACCTTTGAGCTGTGTCTGATCTCTAAGGCCAGTCACGTCAGAGGATTACCCAGCCAGTCTGGGGGAAACTGGCATAACAGGGATTGCTGCATAAATTGCTGAATAAGGGGGAGAGGATGTCAAATGAAGGACCTCACAAAAAGGAGCACCTGTAAAAGGTCTGGGAGAGTAATACCTTTTGTTAGAAAAGCAAACCGCCAAACCTCAAGATCAGAGTGGGGGGGGGGGGGGGATAGTGATAGAATACTGACACAGCCAAAATGAAAAGTGACAGGCACACAGAGGCCCAGGGAAATGAGGTCCGTTCAAGAATGGAGATAGATGCTGGCAAGATGACTTGGCAGGTAAAGGTGCTTGCTGCCAAGACACAACCTAAGTTAGGAAGAGTTAGGGGTCCCAACTGTTCCCCTTCCTCACTTAATAAGTTCACAAGCTCAGCGCTGGGTGTTCCAGGGGAAAATATCATCTTGGCTCCATTAGCTAGCGCCCCACTTGCCCAGCTTGCTGTTTATCTGAGTTCCATTTTCCATTGTCTTCTAGATACCAAGGCAAGGCCCTCACCTGGTGGAGGTGCTGACGTTCACTCCCCACACGACAGAAGAGGAGAACTGGTGAAAGTTGTCCTTCGGCCTCCACACATACGCTGTGGTATGGATTTGAGAGTTCAAACACAGATAGTCAAAAAAGAAGCAAGAGAAGTTGGTGCAGCTTACTAGAGACTTACATACACTCACAGGATCCACAGGAAGGTGATAAGGGAGAGAATCGATGTTCACAAAGAGAAAAAGGAATTATGAAAAGCCACTAAGGAAAAAAGAACACTAACAACAAATGACCTTACTAGATGCTTTCAGAGGCCTCTGGGGTCAAGGAGGGACAATGAAAAAAGAGCTGAAAGGTGGAACTGGAAGAGTGTAAACAGGTGAGCCCAGCGTGAAGAATTTGTAGGACAGACAAATCACTGTCCAACACAGTATCGGTATTTTCAAGGAAAAACAGGAAAGGCATTTGGTAAAAACCATCCTTTTGTAATTAAAAACAACTAGCCAGAAGTAGAGGAAAATCACCTCAACATAAAGCCACCAGGAAATCGCCCACAGTGAATTCCCAGCCATTGGATGAGATGTGGAGCAAGGATGCTTGCCTGCACTGCTGCTAGTCAGCTTGGTCTGGCCAGAGCCACTAAGCAGCTGAAAGAAAAGGCACCAAACTGGAAAGAAGCAAATTGTATGATATTACACACTGAAAACTAAAGATTCCACAGAAGACTTTCAGACCCAATAAACGTAGAGTAGCAGAGCACAAGGTCAACACAGAAGACCAGCGTCCTTTCTTTACTTTAACAGTGAACAGTCAGACATTAGAGCAGGTCTTTTTTATAACAGCATCCAGAATAAGAAACTGGGGCTGGAGATGGCTTAGAGCTTAAGAGGTTAGGACCTCTTCCAAAGTTCCTAAGTTCAAATCCCAGCAACCACATGGCGGCTCACAATGATCTAAGATGAGATCTGGAGTCCTCTTCTGGTGAGCCGGTTTACATCAGACAGAATAAGATACTGGGACTGCCACGACATGATGGAACACGTCCATGTTGATGGGCTGAAAATTGTGAAGTGTTGGCACTACCTACAGGCAGTCTCACAACCTCGCAGTACTGCTTTTGTTTTTCTGGACACAAAAATGCACCCTGAAGTTCAGATACAGTTTCGAGGGACTCAGAATAGCCAGCTCAGTCTTGAGTAATAAAGTGGGATGAGTCATCTAATTCTAGAACAGTGATTCTGGCATCAAGATAAACTGACGGAAGAGAAAGCCTTACAAAAGAAACCTCTGCAGCATGAATGACTTTAAACAAAAGCACCAAAAAGATTTCCAATAAGGAGCAGACAGGCCTCCAGGAAACAGTGCTGGAATTGGGGCCTTAGGTAATACCGTACATGAAAATTAACTCAAAATCAATTTCTAAAAGTTTAACAACAGCAGCTAAAAAACTACACAACTCTTGGAAGAGAACAGTGGGGAAACATCAGGATAGACCATCAGGATAATGAATTTTACAGTGATTTTTTTTTTTTTTGTGAAGTTGTTACCAAGTTTTAGAGATCAAAAATTGACCTAAGCAGACTAATCAAAATTTTGTGCATGAAAATATACTTAAAGAGCAAAAAGTTCATACATAGAATTGAAAAGTATATTTGTAGCCCACCAATAAGGACTTACTGTCCAGAATACAGAACTAAAGTGTAAACACACATTTAATTAAAATTGGCATGGACTTAAACAGGTCTCCAAAGAAGAAATATAAATGACTAACAAAAAACACTGGCAGTATGGTCAACTATACCAATGCCCAGGGAAATGCATGTGAAACCCCAATGAGAGGATACCTCACCCCATTAGGATGGTGGGTGTCTTCCATTTCCCTGTCTCACTTGTCTTCCCTGTGCATAGAGTAACTAACACAACATACACAAGTGTTGGGCCCCAGTACTGGTAAAACTCTAAAATGGTGCAACTGTTAATAGAAAACAGTACGATTCTTGTCAAATGAAGCACAATTACAATTAGATTCAGAAATTCTACTTAAAGTATAATATTTCAAAATAAGAGCAGGGGCCCTGGTGGTATATATTGTAACATCAGTGTTTACAGCAGTCAAATTGGAAATAAAATATATTTGCATGGTATATAGAATGTAATATATACACCCTGAATAATATTGAGCTCTTATTAAAAGAATGTAATCTTGACTAAGTGTGAATGAGCTTTGAAGACATGTTGAATTGAAATCAGCCAATTACAGAGAACAAGGAGTGAGTGTATGTCTCCGTTTTCTGTTGGTTTTTAGGGCTGATACAAAAGGGGACTTGAAGAAGGACAATGGTTCAGTATGGGATGAGGATGTTCTGGGCAGTGACAGTGGGGATGGCCATACACAAAGTGAATGCATTTCTTCAAAGTGCTTTAAAGCAGTAAATCTCTCCGTGTAGACCAGGCTGGCCTGGATCACAGAGATCCACTGGTCTCTGCCTCCCAAAGATGGGATTAAAGGTGTGCATCACCATATAACTCCCAGTAAATCTTAAGATTTTACAATTGAGCTGAAGCGCCCTAGAAGCCGCCTCCCTGAGGACTAGATCTCTAGTATGGAGTGACGTGTGCAAGCAGTCTTGGGAGAAAAGCAGTCAGGGGGCCTATCCAGCGGTAACACAGAAACAATGACCAGAATGGCAAGATATCTTGAAAGGTACAATAGCAGTACTTAAGTCCCGGGGAACAGATGTTTAATCGGTCTTAATCTTTATCTATCTATTTATTTATCTATCTATTTATTTATTTATCTATCTATCTTTTTATTTATTTATTTACCAATAAATGTCACGTCTTGTGGAGGTTTGAAAGAAAATGGCCCCACATAGGCCCATAGAGAATGGCACTGCTAGGAGGCATGGCCTTGTGTGGCTTTACTGGAGGAAGTGTGTCATTGGAGGTGGGCTCAAAAGCTCAAGCCTGGCCAGTGTGTCTCAGTTTCTTTCTGCTGCCTGCTGGTGAAGAACTTCAGCACCATGTCTACCTGCGGGCTGCCTTGCTTCCAGCCATGATGATCATGGACTAAACCTCTGAACAGGAAGCCAGCCCTAATTAAGTGTTTTCCTTGTAAGAATTGCCATGACATGGTGTTACTTCACAGCAAATAGAAGCCTAAGACACCCCTCATCAAAGAAGTCTGTTGCAGTAGATGGAGACTATTTTAGGAAGCCACAAAGGGATCAAAAAGAAAAGAACCATTGACTGTGTGGTGGTCAGCCCCAAATGATACATCAGCAACACAACCCATACACCTAAGGCTCATGAAACATGGAGAAGGATAGGGAGGCACGAGGCAGTGGTCCAGAATTGGACATCTGCTGCAAGACAGTGTCTTCTCTATATGACAGGGATGCTGCACACAAGAAATCTCAATGTGATGGTCTAACCAAGAACGTAAACATGACACTACCAGTTGACATGACAGTGTGGATGGGGGAATACTGAAAAGCCTCACTCCTAGGAGAAATTCAGGCAACAGATGGAGGTGGAGCCGTCTTGTCCAGTGATAAGCCCTCTGATAGGCTAGCTAACTCCAAGAGGCCAGCCCTTACCATACAGGGGCAATACAAAATGACCATAGCAGTTTGTAATTATAAGTGTGTGTACATAAGCTTGTGCACATACACAAAATATGTGAAATTCTCAAAAACAAACCAAAAGGCAAAATTTAAAAACCATCAAGAGAAAACCCCAATTGTTAAAATGGAAAATGCATCAGTGAGCTACAAAAAGAAAAGAATCTTGGATGGCTGGGACTGTGCAAAAGAAGCCTGTCTGAGTACACGTTTATGAATGCAGTGTTAAGAGTGTGGAAAGCACAGAGTGAAGACACGAGTGGGCACCAGAGAGGGAGAGCTGGAGAGAAACAGGGCTGCTTAGGGGGAGGAGACCTGGTGACCTGTAATAGTGAATACATAGAAAGTGCAGAGAACAACAAAAAGGAGCTTTAAACTTTGAGCATTAGCAACACAAACATCCGTGGAACCTGCTTGTGTAAAGCATTTCGCACAAGGATCTGAGCGGGAGGGGGCAGAAGGAAGCCAGGCTGTCTGCTCAGATTTCTCCAGCAAGCCAGCCAAACCTGTTAGAAGCTGAGAATATTCACGACTCAAGTGCATTCAGTACACACTTCACCTAACCAAAACCGTGCGGCTTAGCCAGGAGGCCCACAGAGCCCGTGACTGGCCCGATCATGAGATGACTGGAATCATGGGATAGTTTGCTGCTGCTGACCAGCACACGAGGAGATCTTGCCTCGTATTAAGAGTTTGGAAAAAAATGAAAGTTCAGTGTCTATTGGCTGAGTGCCAGCTTCACACTAGCAAAGCAAAGTGGCCAGTGAGACTGTCGCTGAGTCCAACTATCTCAGTTAGGGGCTGCCTCTCAATCGGAAGTCTTCTAAAGACTTAGTTGGACATACCAGGGTCACTTTGTCTACTGGCCTCAAACCCTGACACTCCTGACCTGTCAAATAATGACGGATGAGCGGATTGACGAATCACGCAGTGCTGGATGAGGCTGTATGGAAAAGCCTGTGAGCACGCCAGCCTGGCAGGCCAGGGTTGCTATACCAACCTGGCAGGCGGGGGTTGCGTCCTGGCTGTGACTAACATATCACTAAGTCCCAGACCTCCACAAGAAGCTCCTGGAAGGTGCTGTGGCTTCTTGTCTACCATGTTTAAGCGCAACCTCAACAGGAGCAAAGGAAGCCGGAGAACCATTAACAATTAACATTGCCTCCAAGAAGACCAAATTTGCTTTCTGCAAAAATATGCACCAAAAATTACAGGTCAGGAACTCTTTCTGGTTAGTTTTATGTCAACTTGACACAGCCAGAGCAATCTGGCTGATGAGGGTAGGGTGGGAGGAGGCTGGGGAGTGGGGCAGGGACAGGACACATCAATTGAGAAAATACCTCGGTAAAATTTGGCTGTCAGCAGGCCTGCAGGGCATTTTCTTAATCAGTTATTGACAGGAGAGGGCCCAGCCCCTGTGGGTGGGGACATCCCTGAGCTGTGGATCCTGGGACATCGCTGGTGGTGCTCGGTTCTGTAAGAAAGTATGGCGAACAAGCCATGAGGAACGTGCCAGTAAGCAGGCCTCCCCATGACCTTGAGAGACCAAAAGATTAAAAATTAGCAGCTATTATTTAAGGCCTGAACTAGGTGGGTGGATAAGTCCAGGACTGCATTTTTTCCCCACCCACTAGAGATAGAATTGCTAGGAAACTGGCCCATCCCCCTAGGGAGGGACACCAGATCATTAATGGTCTGGGGAACTTCCTATAGCCAATCGATTCAAAATGCCACATTTTGACCAATAGATACTTGCCAGGCAGGAATTGCCCTGGGCATGCTGGGAGGGACCAGAATCACCCAACTAACCTGAACCCCGGGCTTTCGGCTCTCACCGCTTTGGCGGTGGGCGGTGTGAGCCCAAGCTGCAGCTTCTAATTTGCAATAAAAAGAACCTCATGTATTTACAGTGGAGTCTGTTTATTCCTGGTCTTTTGGAACAACCTCTGTGTCAGCCACTGCCTCCAGGTTCCCAGCTGGCTTGAATCCCTGCTTTAGTTTCCTTCCCACAAGGGACTGTGACCCAGGATGTGGAAGCCAAATAAACCCTTTCCTCCTCAAGCTGCTTTTGGTCATGGTGTTTCACCACAGCAATAGTAACTCTAAGATAGTAAAACCTGTAGAGACACAACACTCCTAAGTTTCTTCTGGTCTTCGCAGTAGCCATCAAAGGATGCTTTTCTCAGTTAGCACATGAAATGTCTGTGTGGCTCTTCAGTCTGTATTTGCATACAGCTTGATTCTCTGCAGGCATTTTCTCAATTCAGGTTCCCTCCTCTCAGACTCTTACATTTCCAGGTCTCAAACCCTGGGACAAATGGCCGAGGTTCTTATTTAACATATCAAAGACCTGGCTGCCCAATTCCCCCAGAATCTCCCAGTCCTTCCCTGTCACAGGGTGGGGGTGGGGCTGGTATACTCCTAAAGTTCTCCAGCCTGGGGGCCAGGCTGCCCTTCCTCCTGCTGCCCTTCCTCCAGCTGCCCTTCCTTACATACTCCAGCCATTTCGAGTACCGAGCTTTTTTTGTCTTTTGGTCTTCTCTTTGCCCTCCTGGCCTCTTGGGCTGGCTCTCCCTCCTCCCTACCTCCTCTCCTCAAGTGACCCAGCTCAGTCTGCTCCTGTCCACTGTGGACTCTCCCAGATATTCCTGCCTCTGGCTGTGCTCTCCCACAGATCTACAATAAACCTCCTCCACCATACCCAGGAACACTCAATGTCCTGCCTTTTAAATTTCTTTTTTCATTTAGTAGCCAAGAGTGGAAGTGAGATGTTTTGTAATGCTCTAAAGCAGCTACTCCTTGCACTGAACGCATTTTCATCTCTTTCCTTACTTCAGACACTGCTCAGGAGTTCTGCCTGGTTTGATTGTACCCATCACTGCTGGAAAGAGTGTTGGGCCATAACCCCTTGCAGGGTGTACCACTTCCCCTCCCCTAAACAGGCTGGCTCAGACAGGACTGGTTACCAAACCTCATGTCTAAGGAAAGGAAAACTAGAGCGATACCTTCTCTCCTCGTATGGTTCACTTTCTGCCTGTGTAAGCTGATCGCAATAATGCTCTGCGCTGGGTGTGTCTTCAGTGTTCTCTGTGACCTGTGGAAAGACAGACATAGGGCTGTGCACTCACATACACACACCTACCTACCTACCTACCCTCTTACCTGCATACACACACACACACCTATACACTCACATACCTACCCTCTTACTGCACATACAACAGCACAACTTCCGCTTGTGGCCGAAGACTAGAGGTGAACGCACATCCACACCCACAGCTGCTGCCCACAGCCCCTGTGCACACCCTCAGCATGCCCGTTCTAGTCGCTCAAGGGCCTGCCTCTGTTTTCCTGCCCTTCTGCTGCTGCCTAAAGTCCTAACAGCTTAATGCTCCTCCTGAAATATTCAGTTACCAAGGGCTGGGTCCTGGGCAGAGTGCCAGGGTGATCACTGACCGCAAAGACAGCAGCAGATGCCAAACACGGGAAAACTGTTAAACACAAGGGTGGGAGAATCCTGGGGACGCTGCGCTGGCCAGCCAGCCCCAAGGACCCGTGGAAGGCCATCTGCAATGGGGAACATGAGTCAGGACCAGCGACTATCCCTACGGTACGGAACATGGCCTCTGAACTTTCTAATTTTCAAAACAGGTCTGAGCTGTGGCTGTTGAGCGCCTTCCACTGTCTGTAACAGGCACATTTCAGAGTCCAGCTTTTATATCACACATCTCCTTTCCTTTGCTGTGCTATGGCCTTATATATGAATGCTGTTTGGCCTGGGGAGGAGGAGGGAGACTGCCCAATTTTGCTAACTCTGTAAGCTGGTACTCATCCTATCCTGGCTTTTGGTTGTCATTATATGTATAGCCTCATGGTCTTTTTTCTCCATTAAAAAAAAATATTCATTTCAGCCAGGCGTGGTGGCACATGCCTCTAATCCCAGCACTCAGGGAGGCAAAGGCAGGCAGATCTCTGGGAGTTAGAGGGCAGCCTGGTCTACAAAGCGAGTCCAGAACAGCCAAGGCTACACAGAGAAACCTTGTCTTGAAAAACGAAACAAAAATACTCATTTCACTCAAGTGTGGGGGCTCATACCCGTTAACACCAGCATTTGGGGGGCGGAGGTAATAGGACTGTTTCAAGCTTGAGGAAGCTCGGCTCCAGTAAGTTCCAGGGCATCCCGAGCTGTGGAGTACAACTTAACCTCAGAAAATAAACAAAATCCTAACTAATATATAAAGAAAAAAATAGTTAAAATTTAGAGCTCTCTCCAGAGTAGGGTGTATTTTATGTAAGGAAAGTCTGTAAGATCACTTCCTACTCTTCTTAATATTTTTTAAAACGATGTGTATGTGGCATGGGAGGGATTGTACATCTATGAGGTTAGAGGACCCTCCTGGAGCTGGAGATACAGGGGGTTGTGAGCTGTCCAAATAGGTGAACAGTATGCACTTTTAGCCACAGAGCCAGCTCTCCAAAACCCGATTTCTTTTTACAAATGTGTCTTTGCAAATAGGAAAGGGAAAATGTGCTTTATCTGCACGTGATTTATAAAAAGCAGTCACTGAGTTTTACTGACCCATCAACTACTCTGGGAAACCGTATCTTGAGGGATGCGAGAGAGAGCATGGTCAGGGCTCATGGCAGAGTGCTGTTTACACACACACACACACACACACACACACACACACACACACACACCCGCTTGCATTGGGCCCTGTTTGTGTTAACCTTTCCGGCTGACAGCACACTAATAAAACCCTGCCATTTTCGTTGAGCACTTTGGTTGGTTTGCTGTCGAGCGCTTTACCACGGAGTGTGACTCTAGACAGTAACACTCTAGAGGAAACAAGGGCCAACACAAGCCATTAATTAGAGCTGCCACTAAGCTACGCAGCAAGTGACACGTTTCCTTAGCGTCGTGAGACTGTGATCACCTTGAGCACATGAAAGCTCAGGGCATCGCATGATGGCGTCCTTGATTATTAGTGTGTCTTCCACTGTGGCTGACTTCACTGGGAACTAAATAACAGAATTTGCCATTTTAGCCATTGTCAAGTTCAGTGACATTAGGTACAGTCACATATTAGGAATAGACTTCACCTCTAGAAACTTTTCATTATTTCAAATTAAAACTCTACACGTTAAACAAGAACTCTCTCCACAGTTGCACTTGATCGCTCTAGGATCTCATTTCAGCGGAGGTACAGTGTTTACTTTTGAGGCTGGCTTTTTCACTTAGCATAACGTCTTCAGAGTTCACTGACATTATAGTATCAGAATTACACCCCCTTTTAAGGATAACTAGTGTTCCATCTGTATGCATCCATTTATTTTATCCATTCACACGCCAGTTGTTTTCCACCTTTGACTGTTGTGAATGCAGCTTCTGTGAGTGTGGGCGTACAGATATTTGTTCAAGCATGTAAACTCCCGGTAGTCAACTGTTGGATAAATGGTGATTCTGTGGTTCTGCTTGAGACATACAATACTGTTTCTCAGGGTGACTATAACATGTTATATTATGACCAGCAAATCAAGGGCTCCAGCTTGTATTCATCCTTGCCAACACATGGTCTCTCTCTCTCTATCCTCATGTTTTTTCAAGACAGGTTTCTCTCTGTAGCTTTGTCCTGGACTCATTTTGTAGACCAGGCTGGCCTCGAACTCACAGCAATCCTCCTGCCTCTGCATCCTCCCCCCCCCCCCGGGCTGGGATTAAGGCGTGTGCTGCCAACACATACCCACTCCTAATATGTGAGGGGTCCACACTCTTCTTTTTATGTTTCCAGAGGCCATAGATGCTCAACATTTCACAGGCTCTTGGAGAAATTTCTGTGGAAATCCTCTGCCAGTTTTTCGAATTGGGCTGTTTTTATTCGTTACAGGTTATTTATTCAGGACTATTTCTCTTGTTAGCTTAAGGTTGCTATTAAAATAACAGTTTCCATTATGGCGTTTTCACGCACATGTGCCACTGCATGTTGCTCACATTTGTCCCCTTTGATCTACTGCATCCTGCCCCTTCTGTTCTCTCCTGTAGTAGGATTAGTCTCCTGAGTCCTGCAAGCTCCATCTTGCGGTAGGATGCCGCTTACCTGTTCCGTGTGCCAGACTGCAGCAAAATGGTGGTCAGTGTTGCTGAGACCAGCAAACCTCGAAAGGGAAAAGGCAGCATCCTCATGGGCATTAACCTTCCCAGAGTCTGGCTTGTCAGAGCCTTGTTGCCTGAATGTTGTCTGACATACCACTAGGTGGCGCTCTGAGCCCAGGTTTGCACCAATTCTGCGGCCAACTGAGACTCAGAGAGAGCAAGGGCCGGCGGCAGGCCTGTGAGCCATCTGCACCCCTCTAAGATCCCAAAGGATTGCGCTTCGGTAAACTGCCCACACCATTGTATAGCCGCAGCAGCAATGGCTGCACTTTCCCGGATCCCACAGACTCAAAAATCGTGGCAGAGTCACCGTGTTGACTGGCATTTTACTGTGGCTTTTCCGTCTTTTAATGAACGTCAAGGTCAAGTATATTTCACCTGCTTATTGGCTACTTGTGTATTGTCTTCGGTAAAACAGCCGCACTTTGGCTTCAGGTGCTTTCTGTTCCTGAGCTGAGAACCCTTCAGCTGAGTGAGTTTTTGTACTCCCTGTCACCTGTCGGATGTTTGACTCAGCTTCACAGTGGGGCACCTTGAAGCATGGGGATCGATAATTTGCACGCAGCCCAGTACATCAAGCTGTTTGCCAACTGTGCTTTCATATTCTGTCTTTGCCTAATCTTATGGCATAGACACTTTCTAGGAGATTTAGCTTAGTTTTTACATTCGTAGGCATCTTGGTTATTTTTGCTGTTGTTGTATATGGAAAAAATGAATTTATTCCTGCTTGCCTGTGGCTATGTGAGTGTCCCAGCAGCCTGTTAGAGGCTGTCTGGGAGCCATGTCCAGACCCTTCATCCTTCACGCCAGTACCCTGCTGTCTTGACTATGGTAGTTTTTCAGTAAGCGGAAGTTGTGTCGCTTAGACCCTACAGTGTGCCGTTTCATCACTGCTTCCTATTCTAGGCCCTTCGTGTTCCCAGGGTGTGCGACAGTCACCCTGTCAGTTACCACAAAAACACGACGGCACCCGTCTCTGCGCAAATTCAAACTGAAGAGAACGGACATCTTAATATAATGCTTCCAAACCCCTCAACGCAGCAATCCCCGCAATTAGCTGGTGCTCTCTCTCTCTCTCTTTTCTTAGCACTATTGCAGATTTCATCAGGCACAGCTGTATTAGTCACTGTTCTTCTAATGTGATAAAATACCGTGGACAAGGTAACACACAGAAGGAAGGGTTCGTTTGGCTGGTAATTAGGATTTGTTTGGCTTATGGTTCCTGAGGTTTAAGACTCCAACATGGCAGGGAAGCTTGGCAACAAGCTGTAGACATAAGCTCACATCTTCATCCACAAGCCGGAAGCAGAGAGCACATTGGGAATGGCATGGTCTTTAAACCCTCCAGGTCCACACCCAGGGACACACCTCCTCCAACAAGGCCGCCCCTCCTAGTCCTTCCCAAGAAGTTCCACCACCTTTGGACCATATATTCAAAACCATGAGCCTCTGAGGGCCATTTTCTCTCAACCCCCACAGGGTCTTTCATGGCTTCTCTTAGCTTCACCCTGTGCACTGAGACCCTGTTACAAATGATGTCTTGCTTTAAAAGTTTCTTTTTTTTTTTTCCTTCTTTCTTTTGGTTTTTGGAGATAGGGTTTCTCTGTGTAGCCTTTGCTGTCCTGGACTTGCTTTGTAGACCAGGCTGGCCTTGAACCCACAGTGATCCTCCTGCCTCTGCCTCCCAGAGTGCTGGGCTTAAATGTGTGCGTTACCACACCCAGCTGTTTTTAAAGTTTCTATATCTAGCAGTTTCTAATATAGGGAAATATACTTTACCTTTTAATATTAATAATCTTGCAACATCTCTAAACTACTATCTTGTCTCATATTCTGTATTCTCTTCAATATTTCTAGATGAGTTTATACAGAATATACCTATTTCTTCATTGGAAATTTGGTATCAGTTCAGCTATTTAGGGCTGGACTGTCATTGAAGAAAAGTTCCTATACAAATTCAATCAATAGATATAGAACTATTTGAAGTATCTTAAAATGTTTTTAACTTTTTAAATATTACTTTCCAGGTATACATTTTTTGAAAACAGGGCTCCATGTAGCCCAGGCTGGCTTCACTGTAGCTGAGAATATCCTTGCATGTCTGATCTTCTTGTCTGTATTCCTTGTGCAGGGCTCATACTGTAAGTGCATAGAACGCTGCCTGGCTTTCTGTGGTGCTGAGGACAGAAGCAGGGAATCTTGCAGGCTAGGTAGGCCTACACATGAGCTGGGACCCCCGCCCCTTAAGTCACCTCTGCTTCATAGTTCCCTTCTTTGAAGAATTTGTCTATTTAATCTAGATTATGCCAGATCTAAATTATTAAATTTATTTTAAATTATTGCCCTGTCTGCAGTATTGATAGGAATGCTACCTAACTTTTGTTGTTGATATTGCTAATGTCCCTCCTTGACCATTAGTTGATTTTGAAACAGGGTCATCCTGCTGAGCCTGGATCTAATTCATCAAGATTATATGCCAGCCAAACCCAGAGGTCCTCCTGTCCCTGTGTTTCCCACAGTAGGATTATAGGACCGTGACACCAGGCCCTGGCATGTTTGTCCACTTTTCATTGTTTTCAAGTAGGAGAAAGGGAATCGTGCTTGCTGTCTGCTTTGCCAGAACTCTCAAGACAGCGTGTAAACACTGGCTTGTCTGTAGTTTTCCCAGCCTCTCGCTCCTAAGGTTCCCTGCTGCCCTGGCCTCCCAGCACAACCCACATCAGAACATTTCTGGAACCCTGTCCCTCAGGTCTGCCTTAGCACAGCACAGCCGAGGGCATCACTTCAAGTGTTGAAGTTCAGATAACTTCACATACTTATTTTGGGACAAAATATTACTTCTGTCACACTGAAAATAAATTAATCCACTGGGCAGTGGTGGCTCATGCCTTTAATCCCAGCACTCGGGAGGCAAAGGCAGGCAGATTTCTAAAGCAAGCCTGGACTACAGAGAAGTCCTGTCTTGAGAAACATAAAACAAACAAATAAATTTATCCTCATGTGAAAAACGATTAGCACAAAAATCCATGAAAAAATTTGTAGGCTCACCCTTTTTTTGAATGTCTGGGAACACAAATTCATACACATAAATAGCAAAGGTCTCCCCTGTGCCTCTAAACACCCCATTTGGAATTTACTCACTGTGGTGGGTACTGGTATTGCTGGTCTCTGCCAGGCTGATCTCACACTGGACTGAACTGGCTCTCTGAAGGTGGCCCTTCCTGGCATCAAAGAGGAGAGAAAAAAAAAAATCAAATGGAAAACAGGTACCTGGAAAACACATCAGAAGAATCAGAAAGAGAATTATGCTTGAGTATTTAGAAGCTCATTCTCTCTCTAGCGCTGCCTAAAATCACAGGGCTGCCCTAATGCTGTGTCCCCACTTTAGCCAACCTGCCTGAGGCGGCGGCAGCAACACTGGCTGCTGCTGAGCTGACCCTCCAGCAGGGACTGATGCTGTGACTCAGGGTGGCGTCCCTGTAAAGAGGTGACCCCCACCATTGTAGACCTGTTTGTGTGACACGGGGTGGCTTTAGTGAGCAGCTCTAAGTCATGACAATAAAAACGTCATTTAGAGCCCACGCTCCATCAGCTCTGGGTCATCTGATTATAACCTTATACAGGTTATAATTTGTGACTGTGTGGATTTTGAAAACTACTCTAAATATTAAAATGAATATTGCAATGTGAAAAGTTGCTTTGCTTTTTTCCCCCAATATGTCAGTCCCAGTGTGTTAACTTACGTTTAGTGGAAATGAATTCACATCATCTAGCCAAAGGAAAATGGCATTTTCTAAAAGCATGCTGGCCTCTAATCTCAAAATGCCAGTTCTAGAGGGGGGTTATAGTATTGGAGGTGGGGAACATTTTTTGGCTTCTTTCAAGTAGCATCTTTTCCTAAGTTACAGAAATCCCCAAAGGCCCTCAGGTCAAAGCTCTCTAAACCATCAGTTGGCTCTGTTAGAGGACTATTTGCTTCCATTCTTTTTCATTTATTAAACATTTCTCTCTCCTTCCCCCCTCCCTCTCTGCCACTGTGTGTGTGTAAAACACGTTTGCCCGAGTCAAGGCCTGAGGAAGACATCAGGTTTTCTCTATTGCTTCCTGCCTTACTCCCTTGAAACAGGCAGGGTTTTCACCGGTTCAGCTAGGCTAGATGGTTAGTGAGCAGGTACCTGCCTGTCTCTATCTACCCCGTGGAGAGAGGGGCTAAGGAGACAGCTTGCTTGGGAGAGGGCCTGCCGTGCACAAGGAGACTCAGATCCCCAGGTTTCAAGCACCTTTCAGCCTGACCTGAAAGTTACTTTGCAATATTATTTTTATAAGACAAATGCTACTTCTAAATTAAATTCACATCGATTTCCTAAATGTTCAGGGTTCCAATGTCTAAGTTTTATGGCTAGGAAGAAAACTGTTTGTAAAATAGAGCACTTCAAAAAGAGTGAGTAACAACGTTTATGGGCAGGTTAGGAGTCAGCACTCAGCCAGGCGTGGCAGCACACACGACATCCCAGCGTCTAGGAGGTAGAGGTGAGGAAGATGCGCAGGCGAGGTCATTCTTGGCTGCATATGCTGTCACATGTATGTTATATTTTACAAACACACAAGATGATATTTACACACCACTTCTCCATCTCACACTCATAGCAAGGAGAGTCAGTTCACTCTGGCCCTCAGGCAGAAGAGTCATGGGGACTAGCTCTAAGTCTGCATAGCTACAGTTATCGTTTGTCCCTCGCTCTTGAAAGACGTTTGCACTGCTACAGAGGTCTGCAGTTGTTGCTCACTGAGCTCACTGCAAGTGCCCCTGCCGCCTCCTCGCCTCTGCCCCAGTCGGCCGCTGGGTCCCTGAAGACTCGCTGTCTTTTCTACTTTAGCGAGGTTCCCCTAGGGTCAGTGCTCTGTGATTTTTATGAGGCTGTGCTATGCCTGTGTCTTTTTCTTTGACCCACTTGACAGTTGCTGCGTTTGTGGCTAACTTACAAATTCCCAGCATCTCAGCTATTAGCCTCTTCAAGCACTGCCTCTGTCCTTAGTCTTTTTCCCCCATCCCCAACTCCAGAGAAACTGAATTAGACATACTCACTCTGTTTTCTACATTTCTTGACCTTTCCTTAATTTTTTATAGTTTTTTTTTTCTTTTAGGTTTGGGATACTTTTTCCATTTTCATCTCTCCTCCAGGGTTCTTTGTTTCTTTTCTCTCTCTCTCCTCTGTCTCTCCCTTCCCTCCATTCCTCCACTTACTGCTTCTAATCTGTTTAAAAACAAAAACTAAACTTAAAAAATATTGAATAAGATATAGTGAATTTTTTAAATTATAATTTTATTTTCTCAGCTTCTATATTGGCTTTTGCCAAGTCTGCTCTTTTGTAAACCTATCATTTATTTATTTAAAAACTTTGGATTTTAATTTTTGTGTGTGAGTGTTTTGCCTGCATGTATGTAAATGCACCGTGTGCGTGCCCGGTGCCTGAGGGGTTCGGAAGAGAGACCTGACCCCCTGTCAGGTTTCAGACGGTTGGGAACCACCATGTGGGTGCTTGAAATCAAACCCAGTTTCTCTGTAAAAGCAACAAGTGCTCTTGACCACTGAGCAGTCCCTTCAGCTCCCATTTATTTTTCATACATATTAAACATTAATTATTTATTAAATATAAACTTATTTTATATCATGGCTTGATTCTCCCCACAAACAAATATTTTGAATACCTGATTCTACTCTTAGTTGTAGCATGAAGTTTGGAGAATGCATTTAAGCCACTGCAAGCTCATAGTCGCTGCAGCCAAATCCAGGTCGTGGGGGCTACTGCCACACAAAGTAGTTTAACAACCAATCAGTAGCAAATGAGCATTCTGCTTCCCAATCGGCAGAACAGTGAATAATGAATTAACCAGCTGATCTTCCCTTTGGCACACTACGTCGGAAGACATGGTTATAACCAGATGAGACCATTATCCGGTTTTTCTAAGATTCGTGGACTTAGAGTGCTTGTTCTAATTGGCGCCTCTCTTCCTCCATGTCAGTAACTAGCCTTAAGCTGTGAGGGGCCTTCAAGGTAGAGAAGGACAGTGGGCTCTCCAAGAGCTGATTTTTCCTTGTTTCTGTCAATCAGTGGAGGCTGCTTACAGTCTGCACTACTTTGTACTCTTAACCTTTCCCCACTAGACCTCAGAAATACTGTGAGCTCAGGATGAAACAAATCCACTTGACATTTGTGATTTCTTTCTTTCTGTGTTTGCTTTTGAGGCAGGCTCTCTGGACGTGGTGGAGGCTAGCCCTGGACTGTCACGTGGCTGCCTCTCCTGGCTTTAGAGGTTTCTTTTTAAGTTAACAACAATCATTCTAACATGGTCTTCTGCTCCTCATGCCTACATGCCTATACTTTATGCCCTAAAGATCAGGCTTTGGGGCTTAATTTTGAGGGAGGGTTTCCCCTGGTAGGCAGGCTTGCCTGGAACTCACAGCAATCCTCCTGTATCAGCCTCCCAAGTGTTAGGATTCTAGGTGTAAACAGCTATGGCTGGGCCAAAAGGAATCACTCAGCATGGTAGAGGGCACCTCAGGCTGAAATGTTCTTCCCTGTGACCGGGGCCTCGCTCTAGAAATCACCCAGGCTGGCCATGACTAACAGCAATCTTTCTGCCTCAGCCTCTCAAGAGCTGGAACTGCAAGCAAAAACCACTACATCTACATTTAATCAGAACATTTCTGAATTCTGCCTGCAGTCTGTAGAGCAACTGTGCTTTGCTCTTTTATGAAAACGTCATCATTCAATGGGACTCAGCACAGCTGAGGAATAACATCCCGCCCCCTTCAAATTCAGAGTGGAGTAAAGGAATCTGGTTGCAGACAGTGTACCCACAGTAAAGCTCTGTGGGCGGACATAGTCATTATGTGAGACCTGCTTCTGGCTCTCTACCTGACATCAGAAGGGTGAGCTGCATTGACAAAGGCTCTTTGTAATTGAATAGACCTGTGAAACGAATTCTGCCAGAGTATCTGCGTCGCTTCTGGGACACTTTTGTGTGTGAGGCCCTCTGGGGCTTTTCTTTCCCTCTGGCACGGCCACCAACAGCACTCATGGTGGCTGCTTTGTAGTTTTGAGCCCTTATGACTCTGTTTAGCACAGCCAATCCATGCTAAACCATAATGATTATATACCATGAATGAGAAAGTTTTTATTTTTAAGAGATTAAACTATCAAGGCTGCATCCATCTTTTCCTGTTGCTATACAAATACCATTGGCTGGGTAATTCACCAAGAACAGATGCTTATTTAGCTCATGGTTCTGGATGCTGAGACCGCTAAGAACATGGCATTGACAGCTGCCCAGCATCCAGTAAGGACCTTCTAACTAGGTCATTTATGATCTTGGGTACCACATGGTGAGACAGGGCCAGCAAGTCAGACAGAGCTCCTTTTAACAATAAAGTCATCTAACGACAATCCATCTTCCGCTATGCATTAAAGGGTTAATCCATTCATTCTGCAGGGCCCCCATGGCCACTGCTCAAAGGCCCAACGGCCAGTCAATGGAAGACGAGAATCTATTTCCAAGTCAACACTAAAGTGAACAGTGAGAAATTAGACTTAGTTAAGCTGATCTTTTTCCTAGCATATTTTTCCTGGAAAACATGCATAGAGGGACGGAATAAGAATAGATCATTATTCAGTTTCCTCAAATGTTTTAAAGTGAAGGGCAAACAAATTTCCTAATACTAAGAATCCAATACTTCATAACATGTTACTCTAAACTCAGGAGATTAAAGTTTTTCTCTCACGGTTCTATTGGTTGACAGGTAAGGTGTTTTTTGTTTTTTGTTTTTTTTTTTTCTTTTTCCCATAACCTGGGGACCTCTGCGTGATTGCGGGCAACCAGCAGATAATATGAGGCAACTAAAGGCTCAGAGGAGCAGGATGTCCAGGGGCCTCGCTCAGACGGCTAGTTGTCACCATTGACTGGGAGTCCAGCTGGGGCTGCTGCTTTTCTCTGCTTAGGCCTCTTACAGGACACTCGCGGATTCTAAGATGGAGCTTAATTCTAAATTGTCATATATTTATGCACTATTTCTGGCTAAAGCAGTCGTAGTGTCTGTCTAGAGAAATAAACTCTATTTCTTACCACAATATGATGGGTTGAACCCATGTTCAAAGCTTACTGGAAAAACACCTCACATAAATAAACACTCGTGTGACTTAAGCATGATTACTGAGTGTGGGTCCTTCCAGCTTAGAGTCGAATGATGACGACAGTAACAAAGAACAAGCTGAAATTGTTTAAGATGCTTTTAAAATGACTGATTAGTTTCTAGTAAAACTGTATTAGAGAGAGACTGCCAGACATCAAACAGTATCTGCAGAAACACCTGGAAGGAAAGAGTGTTTGCGTTACTTAGAGGCCGAAGCTTTTGTGCTCCTTTGCTCTCTCGAGGGTCTGTTTCCGCCTCAGTTACCTGCACAGGAAGCAGAGTGCTGCGATGAGGAGCGTGACGAGGATTGCCAGGGCCACGAAAGCTGCCGACAGGTTACTTTGGCTTTGGACGCTGGAGCTTGGGAGAAAAACCTCTTCGCAACGAGCTCCTGTGTAATTCTCAATGCACCTACAGGATAAAAGTTTAAAGAGTGAACCTCTGCTTCGTGCACGGATGTGGACCACACGGGGTCTCCAGCTGGAGCGAAGGGAGAGGTCTCTATGTGTCAGGCTGTGAATGGCTGTGAATGGGGAGCACACACGCTTGCTGTGATGCCCCACGAGCACAGACAGATGCAACGTTTCCCTGCTTCCCTCCCTTTACAGTTCTTCGGCAGCTTAGCGTCTAGGGGAATCGGTGGTGTCCAGACTCCAAGTGCAGACAGCGCTGATGCCTTCTGGGTTTCTTTTCCTTCCAACTTTGCAGAAGGTCACAATGTTGTTTGTCTAGTTGTCCTCCATCCCCTGGCTCAAGTTATCCTCCTGCCTCAGCTTTCCAAGTAGCTGGAACTGCAGGTGTGTGTCACCGGGGCTTAAAGTCTACATTTCCAGTGGTGTAACTGTCTGTATATAACTCAAATTCCTCTACAATTTATTTTATCATATGTTATATAGCTGTATAAATGATCGGAACTTTTCCTGAAGATCACTGTTTCTTCCAGACCCAGAGTTATTCAATATTACACTCCTTCCCTGCTCAGCAATGCCGCCTTGAACTACGTCAACCTTATATGAATAACAGCATTTCTTTGTGTCTCCAGAGACAACACAAAACAGAAAAAAAATACCACAAAGGGTCAGGCTTTGGTATAGTCAGTTAGCCCTTTTCCCATTTGCATGTTCAGAGGATTAATACACGTTAACAAGAATTATGCTGTTTGGCATCCCAGCAACTTGTGTTACAGTTGAATGTAAAATAAAAAGTATTTCCCCTGGGAATGCTGGCACACAGCTGTAGTCCTAGCAGTTGGGAAGCTGAGGCTGGAGGATCAACTCAAATTTAAGGCCAGCCTGGGCTACATGATGAGTTTTAGGCCAGCCCAGCCTGGAGTGTGAAACTCTATTTCAAAAAAACAGTTTTTTCTTTTTAATATAAATATTTGATTATAAAGTAACTCAAGAAGTCATGTAGGAAATTCACAACATGTAATAATAATAATGCTATATAGAAACAAGTGTGCATGTACAGACAGATACAGATATAAAGCTATTTTTTTAACCAAAAAAAAAAAAAGTGAAGGTTGATTTTGCAGAGCTAATTTTCCTCCTCACCTCTTCTTAGATTAGGCAAGCATTTAGACATTTATTCTCTCTGCTGCCCACGTTGTACTAACAAGGACAACTCGCCTAGAAAATTATATGTGAACTAATGATTGGTTTTAACAACTAACGTAATAGGATAACTAATAGCCTACACATAAATAAGACAAAAGCTACTTAGCACAGACTGAATTTTAGCGTTCAAACGGCAGGTGTTTTGTGAGCCTCGGACCGCCCTGATGAAGGCAGGAGGTTCCTGTTCTTGGCTCCATGGGGCTTTAGGCAGCACAGTGGGTCTCCCAAACCACTGCAAAGACTGGTTTGTGGAGACAAGGAAAGGGGAAATAAGGACAGGGTGTGAAACACCAAGTGAAAGATATTTTCAGGAAAAACTCATTATTGCTTACAGTATAAATGTTAAAGTACTAATTTTTTTCCTTGGGGCTGGAGAGACGGCTTAGTGGTTAGGAACACTGGTTGCTCTTCCAGAGGTCCCGGTTCAATTTTCAGTACCCACACGGAGGCTCACAACCACCCGTAACTACGATCCCCGAGGATCTCGTGCCTTCCTTTGGTCTCTGCAGGTACCAGGCACGCACATGGTGCAGACAGACATGCAGATGAATCACTCATATATATAAAATAAATAAACGAATAAAACACAAAACTATGATTATTATTCCCACAGACTCAATTAAACACACATGAGAAGATAAAAGATAAGTGAAAATTCATTTTGTTTTTCTCTAGTTTTACTTTCCACTTCTTAGGACCAACTGACCGACCAACCGAACAACAGACAGACAGACACACACACAGACACACACACTATTCCTTAGGATGTAGCTTCATGAACCATGGTTCATGACCTTATATGAGGTCATGTAACAGTGTGTAGGGGTTATGACAAATTTGCAGCAATACGGGCTATCGGAATATGCAAAGCCCAAACACCATTCGCAGCGAGGCTGAAGCCCTGGGGGCGGTGGCAGGGCTCATCTCGTGCGTGACAGCACGTAGCTGCAGCTTTGTTCTGAACACACAGCACACACGTCACTGTGCCTGTAGCCACACAACTCCGATGGATGGAGGCTGCATGCTACACCTCAGCTCAGACTTCCGGCCACTGTCTGCTGTGACCTGCAGCGCTGTTACTGTGCGTACAGGGTCTTCTGCTTACAGAAACACAGGGGGTTAATAACGGGAAACGAAGGCTTTGCCGTTTTCCTCCTGTTGTTCCTTAACACTGAAAGGATTGAAATAGCAGATACTTGGGTTATATTGTTAAGACATTTGAATTTAAAATTACTATCTAAATTGGTAACTTTTTAATAAAGATATTGAATTTGGCTTGAGACTAGGGCAGCGGTTCCAGCGGTTCTGAAATGGCCCTAAGTGTGCTTTCACTGCTCTGTGCTCCACATCCTGGTGGTGAAAGAGGATCACAAAATCCCCATCGGCTCCGGACAGTGCTGCAGGCGTCATGGCATTCGGCGTCCGGCGTGCCAATTTGCTTCCATCACTAATAAGTATGACTGACATCAGGAACAAATAACTCAATTATTTTAATATAAATGTTATTATTAGTAAATTCTTGGTGTGTGTTCCAATCTTATGCACTTCCCTGTCTGGAGTCAGGGAAGAAATTCTTAGCTGAAAGAGTGGTGGGTGGAGAGGTTGTTGGGACTCTACCCTAGAAAGCAGCCCAGCACACACCGTGCAAAGTGAAGCCAGGAAGAGGTAGCGTCCCACAGGATAAAACCCTGCTCTAAGTCCAGAAACAGGAGCTGTTCTAGAGGCACGGAAATACAGACAAGAGCTCTCCCACAATTTTCTTAAGATTCTGTTTGTATCTAAATAGAACTCAGTTAACTCGTGTGCCTTATGGAGGAGCACGGGATAGTCCAGGAATGGTGTAAAGTTCAGTGATCACATCAGGATTGAAGCAAGCAGAGAAAGGCACCAGAGGGGGAGGAAGTAAAACACTGATGGAAAAATTTAAGCAAAAGAACATCAAAAACATTTTGTTGTTCTTCACCTCATTAAATCAGAGAAAGGCAGAGACACGTTGTACTTCTTGGCTAACCTACAAGTGAATTCTGGTTTTCCAGATATTTGCCACACAAACAAGGGAACACTGCCTGCCCAGCGCCGTGCGTAAGAAGTCTTCTCTGAAAGCTACAGCTAACTTAGGAAAATGTTCCGGCTTCGGTTATGACACAAAGGTTAAACTTCAAGCAAACGCCAGCCGGGCAGAGTGGAGCAGGGACACAGCGGGCTGGGAGTAGTGCTCTCATGAGCGTGAGCGGAAGGTGAATGTCACAGAGCTGAGCAGCCCATCTGTATGTCAGTCACTCTGCTGAAGTGCTCCCGGGCTTCGGCACTTGGCCACTGCATACCGAAAGGCTGTGCCATCTAACCTGATGAACACCAAGGGCTAACACACTTTCCTGGAACTGGCGATTAATACAAGGCTGGTTGCAAACGCCCAGGGACGTGAGGACCTCCCAGGCTCAGGACCCACAGAGTTTCACAGGCAGCACAGAAGCCACGGTCAGTACACTGGACACGAGAAAAGTCCATCTGGGGAAAGTTGTTATGATATCGACGGCCTTTAGCAAGAGTAAAGGAAGCAAACTTGGACCCTTGTGAGACTGAGACAGGAGGATTAGCATGAGTCTGAGGCCAGTCTGGGATATTTGTGGTGACTCCCTCTCAAAACAAAACATAAACTGAAAGATCATGAACAGATGCAGCTGTGTTAAAGAAAAAAAAAAAAAAAAGAATGCTGGACTTGAGGTTAGAAGAAACTAGCTTTCTGACCCTCTTGTCATGCTCGCTGTGTATGTCACTTAAGCTTTAAAACCTAAAGTCAAAGACGAACTCTGGCCCTAATTATTTTATTTATTTTCATAATCCAACAAGACATCCAGCAGTGCTATAGGAAGACAGAACACTGTCCAGGTGAAAGAGGAATGCAAGAACTCTCTTTATAAAAGCCATGTTCAGGGGCTGGAGAGATGGCTCAGGGGTTTAGAGCACTGGCTGTTCTTCTAGAGGACCCGGGTTCAATTCCCAACACCCACATGGCAGCTCACAACTGTCTGTAACTCCAGTTCCAGAGGATCTGATACCCTCACACAGACATACAAGAAGGCAAACACCAGTGCACATAAAATAAAAATAATAAATTATTAAAAAACCCAAAAGCCATGTTTACACCAATGCCAGACTCCAGGAAAACAAACAGACAAACTAGGAGCATGGTAGCCAAGCGATGTGCTACTGGCACACTTCCCAGACACAAGACACACGTGTCATTTTGTAAAAGACCCGATGAGCCTCAACACAACATCATTTCACTCGGACACAGTTACCCTAGAAGGAAAAATCCTAACAATGTGGGCCCAGAGCTGACCCACTCCATCAACACTCTATGACCATCAAAGAGTTCAAGAAACACACTGATGACGTGGCTTGCACCCACGTAGTCCAAGGCTATCCGATACACAAATACACGGCCAAATCCTGCAAAATGCCAACCAGCTACGTATAGGCCGAGATGAGCCCTGGCAACCTTTGCCTCTTTCTTTACCTGCTGCCACAAATGCATTAAACATTTGCTAGCTTGACTATGCCTACAGAGATGTAGCTAATATCCATTCTTGGAATAACTCCTGAGTGTGTCCAGGCTGGTCTGCCCCGTGGACCCTAAGAGAGGAGCACCGACAGAGTACGTTCTTCACACGAGCCCAAGACAAAGCTGTGCTGTGTTAGCTTTCATAATGGTGTCTTTCCCCACACGCTAACAAAGTAATTTACTCAAGTTCTGCTCTCTGTCTTTCCCATTTTGCTTATCTCAAAAAATAT